GCTTTACAGTTTACAGCGGAGAAAGCAATGGCGGATGATGATAAAAGTGCTGCAGGGTATGTACGTAGCCTTATAAATGCTTTTCTAAATATAAATCGCGGACATTTCGTTATAGTTTTGTAATTTATACCAGCTGGCATTTTTAAGAAGATTTCTGGGCTTTGAAAAATATCCGAACCGCTCGGATCGACTGTATGTAAACTTAGCTTAGCTCTGAATCACTTGACGTTGATTACAACACTGAAAAAAAGTTAAATTGTTTTAGCGGTTAATTTTTGCATTTTCAAATAAGCAGTAAAGGACTCGTCCACGTAACCGATGTGCTAAAGTATTTATGTTTCCCGCCGTGGCCGACGGTCCCGTCCCAGGTCTAAATCGGTCATATACGTCGTCGTCCACGTTCTCGTAGTCAGTGCTGAAGGTCCCTACTGAGTATTTGGTGACATCATGCAGTTCCTATCCGAAAATGAGAACATTCATCTTACGAAAAGTTTCCAGTTTCGAGAACGTTTTCTCGAGGTATTTATCTCGTATTTTGATATCATTATCTACTAGAATATTTCTTTTCATGTTCGTACATTTAGCTTGATTTTTAAGTCTTTTCCACAATTAGTCTATTCACCTGTTTATACTTTATCGTGCTTAAATAGAGGAGATTATTATTACTATTATCACTCAAGAGATACAGATACTACATTTACAATTTTTTGATAAAACGCTCCAAGTGATGGCACAAGTTCGCATCATTTCTTAAGCCTTTAAAGCAGCTTTCTAAATGGGGGAAGACGACCCAGAAATCAATTGCATCTGCAACTTTGATTTTAGCAAACGCTGTTCTACCTCCTTCGTAGACTTTGTTCTCGTAATCTCCGTACTTTCTGCGACTGGCCTCTTCTGTACTCGTCTCTGAATATATAACTGAAAATCAAAAGTAGGCTTTGTTTTAAATATAAGAAAGTGTTCCTCCTATCAAAGACAAATCACGTTATAACCTACATGAGACTAGTTACAGCCAGGATCGTCCTTGTTTCCGTTGCATAAAGCGACAAGCAGCAGATCACCATAACCCTGGCTAAGGCTCGAGCCAGGGCTTCCCGATCTTCACTCCAGCAAGCTAACCTGACTGGGTCACCACAACCCTCAAATTAGATAAGACTTTAAGATACCGGTAAAACTAATTATGTATCTTTACCTGACTAAGTGGGCAGTATGGGGGTGTGCGACGCAGTGAGAGAGAGGGGGTGGGAGGGGGCATTTTTGCCTTTGAGGGATTAAATTGCTCAGCAAATTGGTCTCATAAAAAAGCTATTTTCCCTCACCTCTGAAGTGTCGCTTGTGGATGAAGAGGAACTCTCCGCCGAAGATACTCTCTCGACCTTAATCAAACAGAGGAGATTCTACCGTCAGACACAATTCATTGTTACTGCAGAACATTTCTAATCCTTTACTTTACATAATACATGTACGACCTATATCTGCTTAGCTTTTGCAGTAGACATCGCCATATTGACAACGCAGCCAGGAGTGGCAGCTGCGATGTTGAAAGCTCGCAACACTGTTGACTGACCTCTTTCTTCTGTTGGTTGCTACTTATTTAACTAGTTGAATACCTAGTGCTCTAAGCCGTTTAAGACATAGGAAATAGCATACCCTTTTCTGTGTCGTGGCCTGCGCGACTTGTGGTCTTTGACGCTGCAAAGATAACAATAAACAGTGTACTGGTGATTACATCGTTCGAAAACTAATGTGACTGAATGCAGGACGAATAATGAACCACACCTATTTCTCGTCACCAGGCTAAGTGTGTAGCTTACTTATGTTCATATTTAATTGTCAGTTTTGATCAAAAGGACGCTACTCAAAACATTAGGACCAAATTATTTCCCCATGGCAATATCTACCTCTGGTCTCTACTTTCCAGTCTCCAACCCCTCAAACTATATCTTCGTACCGTAAGCTCTGCTTATCTCCAAACCCTACTGTTTAGCTTACTATCCTCTTCTATCTTTTGGAACAAATGATCCTGTTTACCAAAAATAACATCTCACTTCTCATTTCCATTTCGTATAGCTTCCGACTAATATAACAATACGACATTTTATCCATTCCTCCTGTCCTTCGCCTAAATTAACCATCCAAACGACCTCGCTTTTGAACGTGGGTTTTCCATTTTTGCCGTGTATAAAGCTATTGACCAAGGTTGTGTAACTGTACCTCAACTTGAGAGAGTTTTTCTTTCTTTTTCCGGATTTCGTCTTGCAGTTCTCTTGCTTTCTCTTCGGCCGATTTAGTTTGTTTCTGTAAAGTTCCTTTCTTAATTGGAACGACCTGCTCAGGACGGTCACAGCTTTAAGAGAAACACAATTCAACTCTTTCATTCCCAAGATATGAAAGCTGATACATTGACTAAGTTTAAACTTAAAAAGTAAAAGAAGACTAGGTGACCGATTCCGAGAACACCTTCGAGACGTGGAAAGGAATGACAAGGACACATCGAAACCAGTCGCTAGACATTTTAATTTACCTAATCATTCTAAGCAACATATGGCAATCTGTGGTCTTTCCTTACACTTAGGTAGCACGGAAAGCCGTAAAAATCTTGAACAAAAGCTC